TGAGAAATAAATGTCCGTTGTCTAAGCCACCAGGTCTAGAGTATCTTGTCGTGGGAGCCTGAGTGGGACACCCTCTGTGGACAAATATTTTTATTCCACGCTGCAGTAATGGACTTAAAATGTCCACAACTGGCTACAAATGCAGACTCCTTTGTTGAATTCTAAGTCATTCAACCACTTCTTCATCATTCAATGCTGATGCCGACCTTAGTACTGAACATCATCTTTACTTCCATCAGTAACAGAAGCGATTTCCTGGGAGACGTACATGTACACAAGTTGAATTTGAGTGTCTTCTTCTCTAAGAATCTTATCCTGATGTCCCAGGGGCATCCCTAACTTGGTTAACAGCATTTTGTTTTCCTGGTTGTTCAAGACAGAACAAAATGGACATCACCCTTGAACTCCTCACTCCCTGTGGCAGGTAGGATTTTGCTTCCATAATTCTGCTCTCCGATGTCACGCTTGTGAATACGTCCCATTATCTGGGGAAAGGGAATTAAGATTGCTAATGAGTTGGCCTTAAAAAAGGGCAACCATCCTGGATTCTCCAGGTGAGCCCAGTGCAACCACAGGGCCCCCAGAAGTGGCAGAGGAAGGCAAAGCATGTGGTGAGAGAGACGCAAGCAAGGATAGAAAAGAAACAGGAGGAATCTGCAGCATGGGAGGCCAATGCAATCTACCACTGCTGACTCTGAAGGAGGAGGATAGGCTATAATTCAAGGTAGGTGGCTTCTAGAAAATGAAAAAGTCGAGAAACAGATTCTCCCCAAGATACTCTAAAAAAGAAGCAGCCATGATGATACCTTGATTCCAGCCCAGGCAGAGTTGGGACCTGTGAAGCTATGTGATAATACATTTACGCTGTTTTCAGCTACTAAATTTGTAGTACTTTGTTATGGCAGCAACAGAAAGTAATAGGTCCCGATCACCAGCTCAACAGCATTTCCTGTCAGCTCGATTCTAAAAATACGGCCCAAAATTGACTGTTTTTCACCACATCCTTGTTCCATTTTGGTCCAAGCCATCACAATCTCTTGCTGAGTTTACCAATAGAGCCTCCCAACCAGTTTCCCTGCTTTTGCCCTCAAAACCCTTCAGCCAGTTCAGAACGTAGCAACCAGGCTGATTCTGTTAACTCGTAAGTGGCACCAGGGCTCTCTTCTGCTCAAACCCACCAGTGGCTTCAGCAGTCACTGGGCACAACAGCCAGGGTCCTTTCCATGGCCCTCCCAGCCCCCACGTGGCCTGGCTGCTCTGCCTCCACTCCCCTCATTCACTCAACTGTTCCCACTGTGCTGGTCCCTCCAGCAGTTGGGATGCCCCCCCCCTCAGGCTTTGGGCTCACCTGAAACGCCCCTTCCCTGATGCACCTTCGGGCGGTGATCGAGGACTCCTCAGCGTTTATTATGGTCCACCGTGCTACTAATTTAACCTTGTCTTACTATTTTCAGTCACCCACGCAAGACATTTGAGCATCATAGGGGTAATGATTTTGTCTGTCCCATACACAGCTGTCTGGCTCATAACAGCGACTCAGTAAACACCTGATGGATTCGGGCACCTTCCCCGTGGAATATGGCTGTTGGGTCTGTTCCTTTGCTCCAGTTCCCACTGCTGCTGCCCGAACCCAGCTCACTCTACTAACATCGAAATCTCAACGATGGATTCTAGTTGATGTCTTTGCTTTCAGTTCTTATTCTCACCCTTCAGTGCCTCCCTACGGATATTTATCCCTGATTAATGTTTGCTAAAAACCATTTGCAGCATATGAATTTTCTTCTCAGGAATATACAGTCATTCCCATTGCTGCTTCAAGACCAGACCTTGAAGTATTCTCACCAAACTTCTCTGTTTAAAACCACTTTAGCAGCTACTGTCCTCACTTCCCACACCTTTCAGCGGACAGACCTCCACGTGCAGGGCTCTCACTGCTGTGCACCTGCACTGCTGCCCAAAGGTAGACTGCTCTTCTTCCCTTCCTTCAAATATCTGAGCTTGAAGCAACCATCAAGATCAGAGTCTCTAGATAATATAGCCTCTAAGAGACTTTGCCTATCTGCTCCAGATCCACCAGACTTTACTGTTACTCATTAATAGTTTTCTATTTTATTGAAGTTTTTTTTCTTTCTTTCTTTCTACTTAGATTGGAGGTTCTCTGACAACAGGATTCATTCCTCTTTGATCACCCAAGTGACAAGACAGTTCCATGCCTACAGCAACTCCTTTAAAAGTATTAATTCAGATTTTATGCCTTCAATGTTTTGGTAAAATATTATAATACATAACAATATAGTATATAATAGTTTCTTCTTGTTCTCTGGGTTGATTACTTACTGTTCTTAATTTCTTTTCAGCCCTAACTCAGGGATTATTTTTTTCCTGTAGATACTTTACACAGAAGGTTTTCTAACTTTGCAAATAATTTTCTTGTTATTTCTTTACTATTAAATCAACAAAGGCAATTAAATCTGCCTGCATTTTAATTGAGGTTTGCTCCAACGGCTCCTTCTGGGTAGGCTTGGAAAAGTTGCTTCACTCCTTTCCTCAGCACCACTGGGAGATGCTGGGATGGGCAGTGGGTGCAGAGAATCTGACAGACCTCAGTTCCCTGCCCCGCGATGTGCTTAAAGCTTCGCAGAGGAGACAGCCACTAAATGAAGAGCTGTAAGTGAGGTGATAAAAAAAATGGGCGGTGACAGTGCTCTGGGACAGCCTGCTAGAGGATGTGACACCTCGGCTGCATCTCCGTTCCTTCACATGTGAAGGTAAGAGTTTGGACTAGAGAGTCTCCACCAATCATTCCACTTTAAGGAAAAAAAAAACTCAGACCTCCGAGTGCCCTAGTTGGACTCGCAAGCCCACACAAAGCCAGAAGAAGCGCCATTTCAGTCCTCTTGTCATTGCTGTTGTTGTGTAGAGCGCGCTGTCAGGCTTCTCAGATACAGATCCACAATTCCCGTTTGAGAGCTTTGGGACTTGGCATGCTACTAAATTTATCATCTTTTTCCAGATGGGGCAGGTTAGAAAATAAACAGCTCAGCAACAGTCATGCCATCAAACGAGTTACCAAAAAACTTGGTTTTCAGAGACTTTGATTTTAAAATGTAATTAATGGGTTGTGGGTCTGCACTCTTGGCCTGCCTGTTTTAGATGAATTCGATCAGTAATTTTAGAGTCAATCAAGATAAATTAATTTATATTTGCTTCTTTGAAGCCTTTTACATTTACACCTACAGCTGGAAAGTTTCTCTCACACTAGAACTCTCGAAGGTAGATTCTAAAAACAAAAAGATTCATACACAAGAATACAAAAACTGAGGAACTTTATAGTCTTGTACAGGCAATTGAAATTTGGATTAAGTATTCTTAATACACTTTGAAACTACAACACAGACAACTTAAAGGGATAAGCCAATCAGCTCTTGTATCCTGAGTTTGGAGGGGAAGTGACTTCACTGCTATATCTATCCATGTATGAGATAATAATAAATTTTGCAACACAATCTCATCACCAAAGGAAATAATTTCACTGGAAAAACATTTCATCAACAATTTTTATGAACAATTTGCAAGGAAACCACTTGATTTTTATGGAGGTAATTCTTTATATATATATATATATACACACACACACACACATACACAACAATTTTATCAATATTTTGCATTTTTTAAATCTTTACTGGGAGACTTGGGAATTAAACTAAGTTCCTTGTAAAGAGCATTTTGTTCTTGAATATTTCAGACAGTTAAAAGAAAACCTCTAATATTTAAAAGAAGTTCTATCTCCTACTTCCCCCCCACTCCCCCCAAAAAACCAACCAAAGATATGAAACAGCACATCAGAAAACGTTTTCATTGCAGTCGTTACCTTCTTTGTCATCGTGGTGGATAACTGCATCCTGCATCATGTCAGCAAGATTGAAACGAACTTTCTGACTCCGGCCATGCTTCAGCTTTCTCAGGAGCCCCTCCTGCTTCTGGAACGCCTTCTCTCTTTCATAGTAGGCTTTGACTTGCTCACAGCGCATGCGCTTCACCAGCCGCTGCCGCTGGCCCAGGGGGAGGGACTCCAGCAAGCACTGGTCAATTTCCATTTCATGCGATCGAAAAACGTTACATAGCTGAAAGCAACCTGAAAGAAACACAGCGGGAAAGTCACCGGACCTTCTACCACAGGCCAGACAGCAGCTCTCCGAGCATCACCTTCTCACTCAAGTCCGAGACCCACTCAGTCCCCTCGGCGCTGGACACACTAACACGAGCCTTTTCCCAGGGTGCGGGGCAAGCAGGGAGAGTTGATGTGTTACTCAAGACTTCATAGTAATAAGACAGATGATGTAATTAGACACGGATGTGTAGTTTTTGCTCAACGTCATTACTAACAATGCATCCTTTCCTGTTTCTTTAAATCTGTACCAGATTTCAGATCTAAATGTTTTACCATGGCATAAGTTTCCTTGTCTAATTGAACAATGCTAACTAAACTCTACATGTTAAACTTTGGCAGAAGGCCATTCAGTTGTTGAGAACGCTAATAAAACTGGTTTTGTGGGTCTTGATGACTCTGCTGATCGGATGTAACAGAACATAGGTACGCTATCCATTGTTCCTATGACACAGCGATCACTTTCCACCAAGTTTTGCTGAGCCCTTTTCCTTGTGATCAGTGACATTCATTTCTGAAAGACCTAATGATGACTAAGCATAAAGACTGCACAGAGGACAGGCAAGTCTTCTCCTGGCAACTCGAAGCCATGGATAGAATTGTCGCTTTTGTAGTCGTTGTCTTATTAGCAGAGAGATTAGCAAATTGAGTTCTCTGTCTTGGACCTGAAAAGCATCCCTGCCTATTTCCCATCAACACCACCCAAAACACCTGTAAGGGAACTGTACAAACTTGTACTGAAACCAAACAGATCCCTGCGGGGCCTCACTGGGTACAAAAGCCTTTCACTGTCCCCAGTTTCTTGCTTGTAGGAGAAAGGTTTCAGCCTCCCCCGCTTTCCCAGAGTTCCAAAGGGAAATTCAGTTACTAATTGGTGGAGGGTGGAAATGTAGAAACAAAGGGAAGGCAGTCAAGAAACTTCAGAGCAGGGGTGGGGCAGAGTCCTGCTTCCTCCTGCAGGGATTCACCTAACAATCTGGTATGTATCTCTGAGCTCTTCTTCAGGAACTAAGGCCCCCACCCAGGTGGAGGATGGTACCTTCAGGCTGAGCACAGGCAGGTGGACCCCAGACAGGCAGGAACAAAAAGGCTGATGACTGAGATTCCTGGAACACCACCCAGGTACCTCCCCACCAACCAGTCAGAGAAAAGTCACACACCCTGCAGACCTCTCCACAAATTTTGCTTACAAAAACCCTTCCCCGAAATCCACTGGTCTTTTGAGTTCAAGCTACCTGTTCTCCTTACGTGCCCGAAGCAATAAACCTTCCTTGGCTCCAGACTCTGACTTTTCCGTTTAGCCTCAATGTGTGTTCAGCACATGAACTTGGGTTTGACAACAGTTTACTTACCACCACAGTAAAATTTTACTATTGGCAGAAAATTAATGTTAAAGAGCTGAAAATTCTAGAATCTGGCTCAGAAACACAGGTGCAGATAACCGTCTATATGTCCTTCTATTAAGAAATTCATAATGCAAGTCTCAGGCAAATGAAAGTAACTCTGCATACACAAAAATGCGGCTGCACACAGGTGGCCTGCACACACCTCTGGAAAGATCCGACAACAAGGGTCTACTCCATCTTTTGGAAAGACACTCTATTCCTTTGACAGGACAGCAAATTGTCACAGTGCTATTTTCATTTCTGTTTCCCTTGACACTTGGCAAAGCTTTATTCTTACAAACACCAGGCACAACCATTCCTGTTGTGCATATAAAGAAAAGGAAGTTGAGAGAGGCTGTGACTTGTCCAAGGCCAAAGAGATGATTATGTAACAGATTCGTAAATGTTCCATAAAGGCTCAAGAAAAAAATAATAAAAGACAATGCCTCTTGAAAGCCAGATATTACGTGTGTGTGTGTGTGTGGTGTGTGTCTGTCTGTCTGTCTGTGTATGAGGGAGAGAAGCAGGGTCAGGGAACTGTGTTTTAGTTGTTTGCTAGCATTTGACAAAAGCTAAACATTTTAGAATCATATGTTTTCATAAAACTCTTCATAAGTCTATGTAAGAGGGGTGTTAGACGTATCAAACAGCTTCACATAAAATGTTCCCTTTCCAACAACCCACGCACAAAAGGATACCAGGGGCTCTGAAATTATGACAAATTGCTCTGGAGTCTGTCTTTGTGATAAAAACCGTGATCACTGCCCCAGCAGTTTGTCTGTGAGGGCTCATTAATAATGGGCAGGAAACAGCCTCTGCTTTCGAATTTGTTTGGAAAACATCACCAGGTCGCATTTACTAACTTTGATGCTCAGGACACTGTGACTTCCGTGACTCTCCCCTGTCCGCCAGTGGGCGCCCAGGGAATCATTGGAGCCACCGCAAACCCTGAAGACGTAACACAAGTGACACTGCAGAGCAGCCTGTGCTGATCAGCACCAGTCGAGGAGGGAGGGTGATTCAGTGAACACAACAGTCCCCTGGCTTTTCCCTCTTAAGAAAGATCTCATGGTGAAATTTTCACTTTTTTTGTTGTTGTTTTGTTTTTTCACTTGTATTCTTTTTATTGAAGTATGTCAGTTTACAATGTTGTGTCAATTTCTGGTATCCAGCATCATGTTTCAGTCATACATATATATACACGTATATGCCTTTCCATATTCTTTTTCATTATAGGTTACTACGAGATATTGAATATAGTTCCCAGTGCTATACAGAAGAAATTTGTTTTTTATCTACTTTATATACAGTAGTTAGTAGTTGCACATCTCAAACTCTCCATTTATCCCTTCCTCCCTTCCCCCCCACCCCCAGTAAGGTCTGTTTACTATGTCTGTGAGTC